CAGATTCTAGGAGGATGCAGTTCTCGAAATGAGTGGAACGAGATCCAGCACCAACTTGCCCTTGCCAGACGGGCTTCGCACCTTGGCAGCGGCCAGAGGAAGTCCCGCCTGGAGGTCTGGACCTCAAGGCAGCAGCAGATGCACGGCAAGGCATCTGGGTCTGCGTCGCCTGATGCGGGCCCGNNGGGCACATCTCAGCCCGCAGATCCTGATCTACCTGCGCCCAGACAACGCAATTGCGCTCGGATACACGCTCAGTGTCTTCAGGGGTGCCATCTTGACAGGCCCAGGGGTGAGATGGGATGCGATGGCCTAGAGTGTTCACTTCAGATCAGTTCAATTTCTTTTTTCTGTGTTTTGTTGTTGGGCAGAGTGGAGGTTGAGAATTCAGAGGTTGATATGTTGACGATGTTTACTTCTGTGTAGTGAATGTCTTTATGGATAAGGGCCTGAGTTTGTAGAAGGGTGCCCAGCGCACAGGTCCGGGTAGCTCACGGAGGCTCAAGGTGGCGAGACCAAGTGCAAGCCCGCTCGCGTGTGGGCTCTGCAAAAACGTGCGGGTCCTGGAATTGGTACAGGCTATGAAGCTCAAATGGGTGGGAACCTTGTTGAACCCGGTGACCTTCATCGAGCCGGTCTCCGCCCTTGGAGAGATCAAGGCAGTCAGCATTGAGCACACTGACCAGAAGCTCACGGTCACGTTTTCCGAGACTGCAGCTGGGCATTTATGGTAGACTTAGGACTGTAGTCCATGTGGTGGGCAATATTTGGTAGTAATGAGGCTCTTGCAGCGCTGGGCAAATTCATCAAGGATGAGCTCTGGAAGCAAGCTGCGGAGCCAGCTGCAGACAGCGGCCCTGGGTCCGCTGTGGTGAAAGGCATGGAGGGGCTGGTGGCGAAGCACCTAACGCCCGCGAGTGGTGCCAAGCACATCCCAATGTTCATGGAGAGGCTACCACAGTTGTACAGCCATCAGTCCGTGCCAATTTTAGATGCAGAGGGCCGCTTCGACACAGGCTCAAAAAAATTGGCTGGACTGAAGTGGCCTCCCGAACGCAAGGCTATTTCGACGTGCAATGCGCTGGACGGAGCAGCAGTGTGTACAGCAAAACGGTACTGCATCAGCTGTCCCAGCTCCATCCACAGAAAGATGGGGCATTGAAGCGCCTCAAGCATTTCGTAGGCCGAGTCAACCTTGTAAGTGGTCCCTGGCTGCCCCTGTCCTGAACACTCAACAGTTTTCACCAGCAGCGCAAACCGTGCAAAAAACTTTAGACAACCAGACATCTCGTGCAGCTAGGATTCTTGACAGCAGCAACCTCAGGGAACCGTGCACTGTTCCGGAAAACTTTACAGAGTCAGTTACCGTGCGCCAGTCACGAAAAAAATCAGAGCGCGCGATAGCGTGCGATCCAGCGCAGCACTCATCAGCTGTTGTTGCACTGCACTGCTATGCTATTCTACACTATTCTATTCGACGGCCTTGGCTTTGTGATCACCTGTGGAGCCATCAAACACCATCACAAACCTACATTTACGTACGTGGGGTGGCACCACCAAAACCTACATTTAAGTAGGTGGTGGGGGTGG